CCTGGCTCCCAGGCATTCCCGCTCTAACCACTAGACCCCACTCCCCTCCCAGAGCTAGGGAGAGAACCCAGGAGTCCTGGCCCCCCGTCCCTCCTGTTCTAACCCCTAGACCTCACTCCCCTCCCAGAGCCTGGATAGAACCCAGGAGTCCTGGCTCCCAGCCCCCCTGTTTTAACCACTAAACCCCACTCCCCTCCCAGAGCTGGGGAGAGAACCCAGGAGTCCTGGCTCCCGCCGTTCCCGCTCTAACCACTAGACCCCACTCCCCTCCCAGAGCTCAGGAGAGAACCCAGGGGTCCTGGCTCCCAGGCATTCCCGCTCTAGCCACTAGACCCCACTCCCCTCCCAGAGCTAGGGAGAGAACCCAGGAGTCCTGGCTCCCCTCCCAGCCCCATCTACCAGTGGCTATTAATATCCTCCCCTCCAGCTACACCCCTCCCACGCCCTGGTAGCCAATCTCCTTTGGTGTCAGAGCCCCACTGCCGGGCAGGAGGAAATAGAAACGACCTTATGTTTTACTTTCATTTCTCCAGCAGAAAATTGTACTTGGACACTGACAGAGCGAGCTGTGGGACAGGTAATGGATGGGGGGGAGGGAACTACCATTCCTGGGGGCAGAATTGTCCCTTCCAGTCTATCCCCTTTCCAGCGGGGACAGTCGTACCCTGCCCCCTCCCCTCTCTTCTGCCCACCCAGACAACCCACCTGAGGTTTGAATTGCTGGTTTCAAACCAGGGACACCAGTAGCCTCTGGGAGGCACCTAAGGGACTTCCCAGCCACTCCCCAGACTGTGGCTTGGTCCCGGCCCCAGCCCAACCAGCGCAGCCCCGCTCCACATCTTGAGCTCTGAGTTCCCCAGTGCTGGGGACACGCCCCATCCCCACTAGCACCCCAAGAAATGAGCAAACCCTCTTTGGCCAGCGCCTCATGACACAGCCCCACTGCACCCAGAGCCCAGGGGTTCCAGCTCTCAGCTCCCCTCCCTCCCTGTTCTAACCCCCTCCCCTCCCAGAGCTGGGGAGAGAACCCAGGGGTCCGGGCTCCCTAGTATTACAGCTTTCCAGACCTAAACAGTTTCCCCCTCTGCCAGCCCTCCTGTTTGAGCACAGGGGGTGTGAGGGGGTTAATCCATTCATGTCCTGTTGTCTCAGTTCTCCAGCAGAGTTTGGCTTTAGCCCGAGCCCAGGAGGAGGGGAGTTCGGGCAACTGGAGCCCAGACTGTCACCTGCTGCGTTATGGGAAATGCAAATAATAAAGGGTAAGTGCTCCAGTCCCACCCAATTCAGGTGTAACCTACTCCAGAGCTGGGGCTAGAGTCCACAAATCCTGGCTCCCAGCCCCTCGTGCTCTACCTCCTAGACTCCCCTCCCCTCCCGTCCTAGAGCTGGGATAGAACCCAGGAGTCCTGGCTCACAGGCCCCCTGCTGTGTGTCTCCCAGGCCAATCCCACCCCCCTCCTCAAAGCCAACTCCAGAGGGGATGGTGAAGCGACTCCAGGAGGACGTCACCTGCTCCATCTGCCTGGACATCTTGGACAACCCCGTCTCCATCGAGTGCGGCCACAACTTCTGCCGGGGCTGCCTCTCTGCTCACTGGAGCGGGGTCTCAGCCTGGGGATCCCAGTGCCCCGAGTGCCGAGCTCCCTGCTCCAGGGACAGGATGATCCCAGACACACGCGTCAAAAGCCTGGTGGAGAAAATCAGAGACCTGCCACGCGAAGAGACGCTGACAGCAACAGGGACAGTGAGCCCTGAGGTGGGTGCAGCCATGGCTGGTCCAGAGATGCAGCCACCTCTGGGGTGGGGCAGCCAGGGAACAGCTGCACAGCCACTCCCTGCAGCACCGTGTCTCCTAACTCCACGCTGGGGCCCTGGGGTCAGAGGGAAGGCCGGCTAACGGGATTCCTGTGTCCCTTTAGCAACTGGTCAGGTCCCTGGGCTGATAAGGGGGGAGCTGGACCTCAGGGCTCAGACCTCCTGATAAGAAATTAACCCCCAAGCAAACAGCCTGTGACTCCATACAGGGGACCCCGGTGAGGGGACTAGCTGGCTGGAAGGTTGGGTGTGGGGGGGAGAGGATGGGACATGGGGCCTTTCCCCTCTAGGGGGCACTGGCTTGGATCTGGCCCAGGGCGGGACTGGTTGGTTCAGGGGATGGGAATGGGGTACTGGGCTCTGATCCAGGGGACAGGGGACTCACCATCTCAGAGGTGGGGTCCCAGCTCTGACCCTGCTCTGTCCCTGCAGCAGGGGCTGGGGGCTCAGCTGGGATCAGGGCGCCCGGTGCAGCTGGTGCGTCTGGATGACAAAGGGGGCCTGACCCTGGACGAGGAGGCCCTGAGCCGCTGCCTGGAGCAGGGTGGGGTGGGGAACGCCCCCGTCTGCCTGGTGTCCATCATCGGGGAGCAGCGCCGGGGCAAATCCTTCCTGCTGAACTACCTGCTGCGCCGGCTCCGGAGCCCGGTGAGTGTGAATGGGAGTGCAGTGTGTGTGAGTGAGTGCAGCCCTGATCCCCTCCCAGAGCTGGGGAGAGAACCCAGGAGTCCGGGCTCTCAGCTCCCCCTGCTCTAACCCACTAGACCCCACTCCCTTCCCAGAGCTCGGATAGAACCCAGGAATCCTGGCTCCCGGCCCCCGCTGCCCTAACCCACCAGCCCCCACTCCCCTCCCACGGGGCAGTGCATGGGGATGGGAGCCCTAGGGTGGCTGGTACCTCACCCCTCCCCATCTCATGCTGTCCGACCAGTGGTATGAACTGCTGCCCCCTGCTGGTGGGGCTCAGACCAGCACAGATCTGTGACCTTTGTCCCCTGGCCACATCCGGTCAGCTGTGTCAGGGGAGTGGGGAGCTGTGTGTCCGTCTAGACCCTCGTCTGTGTGTCTGTGTCAAGAGTGTTTGTTTAGACCTCACCGAGCTTGTCTGTGTGTCTGTCTCAGCCTGAGTCTGCCAGTCCCACCCTGGGCCAGATGTTTCCAACGCGCCGGTCCCCACACTACCTGCCTGCTAATAAAATACCCACAGTCCCCCTGCCCCCCTGCATTAATTGTCCCTCCCCCCGTGTCTCCCTCCCCCCAGGAAGTGAAGGATGGATCCTGGATGGGCCGGGAGGAGGAGCCCCTGGAGGGGTTCGAGTGGCGAGTTGGCACCCACAGCGTCACCAAGGGGGTGTGGGCTTGGAGTCAGCCCTTCTGGGTCCCCACTGAGTGGGGGAAGGTGAGTGGGAAGGGCGGGAAAATGGGGTGGGGAGATGAGTGACCCCAGCAGATCTCTACTTGGGGGAGCAGAGCCGACAGAGGCCTGGGAGGGGAGGCAGGGAACCCAGTGCTGGGGCATCCGGGGGACAGAATGGGGAACTCGCTTGTGACCCCGGCCTGTGGCTCCCCCCCAGGTGGCCGTGCTGCTGGTCGACACCGAGGGCTCCATGGACATTCTCAGAGACACAGCGACCAGCGTCAAACTCTCCGCCCTCTCCATGCTGCTTGGCTCCTACCAGGTTGGCACTAGGGGGCGCTGTGCTGTGGGGGGAGGGTCGTGCTGGTTTCTGTATCTAACCCTGTCCTCTCTGATTACTTGCAGATCCTGAATGTTTCCAGCCAGATAAAGGACACTGATCTAGCATATCTGGAGGTGAAGCAGGGAGAGGGCAGGATGTGGCGCCGTTCTCATACAGCCTCTCAGGGTTCCTTCTGGGGTACAGCTGTGGGGACCTGCATGAAAGACCCCCCTAAGCTTATTTCTACTAGCTTAGGTTAAAAACTTCCCCAAGGCACAAATCCTTCCTTGTCTTTGGATGGGTATTGCTGCCACCACCAAGTGAGTTAGACAAAGATTAAGGAAAAGGACCACTTGGAGTTCCTGTTTCCCCAGAATATCCCCCCAAGCCCCTTCATCCCCCTTCCTGGAGAGGCTTGAGAATCATATACCAACCGAATAGGTTAACAAGGTGAGCACAGACCAGACCCTTGGGTTTTTAGGACACTTGAAAAAACAGAACTTTGTTATAAAGAAAAAAGTAAAAGAAGCACCTCTGTAAAATCAGGACAGAAAGTAATTTTACAGGGTAATAAGATTCAAAACACAGAGGATTTCCCCTCTAGGCAAAACTTTAAAGTTACAAAAAACCAGAAATAAACCTCCCTCTTAGCATAGGGGCAATTCACAAGCTAAAACAAAGGTAATCTAACGCATTTCCTTCCTATTACTTACAATTTGTAATCTTAGATGCTTAGTTTAGATCTGGCGTTAGGAGATGTATTTTTCCTGTCCTGATTCCTCGCTGACCTGGAGAGAACACACAGAGAGAGACAAAACAAAAACCTTCCCCCACAGATTTGAAAGTATCTTCTCCCCTTATTGGTCCTTTTGGTCAGGTGCCAACCAGGTTATTTGAGCTTCTTAACCCTTTAGAGGTAAAGGAGGGATTTTATGCTACCCTTAGCTGTATGTTCATGACACAGCCCCAATGGGGTAGCCCGCCCATTCTACAGCTGGGGAAACTGAGGCCCAGAGAGAATCAGTGACTTGCTGAGGTCAATGGGGAGACTGTGGAACAGCCAGTGATAGAATCCAGGAGTCCTGGCTCCCAGCCCCGCTCCTGCTCTAACCCACTAGACCCCACTCCCCTCCCAGAGCTGGGGAGAGAACCCAGGAGGGCCCAGCTTCTGTGCTGGTGCAGGGGCTGGAGCTCGCCCCTGCCTGAGCTCCAGGCTTACTGAGAACATGGGTGTTGCCAGGACTCTGGGAACGTCTCAGTATTTGGTATCTTGGTCTATTCTGTTCCTACCGTTGGTGGGCATGGGGGGCAAACAGAGCCCCTGGCATGGGGCAGGGGGGCGGGGAACCTTGACCTGCAGTTCTGCTCTTTGGCCACTAGGTGTCTCTGCACCACAGGGGGAAAGCCGTGGGACTGGGGCAACAGACCGAGACCAAGCTGGAGTTGCAGCTTGTGTGTCTGTGTGTGTGTGTGTGGGCTGTTTGTTGGTAGGATTTCCACTCCCACCCACCCCCAGGGCACACGCTGCCTCCCCGCCCCAGAGATCCCAGCCCCAGACTCACCCCCCTGCTCTCTCTGCTCTGCAGATGTTTCTGCACGTGGCCGAAGAGGTGGGAAAGGAATACGGGCTGGAGTCCATTCAGGTGAGATGACATTCCCCCCCCCCCTGCCCCATGCAACCCCCTCACCCCACTGCATGGGATGTTCCTGCCCCAGCCACCCCCTGCCCCACACCCGAGGGGTTCAGCCTTCCCCTCCTGACATCATCCCGTCTCCCCTGCAGCACCTAGACCTGCTGGTGCGGGATTGGAGCAACTCCACGGTCCTTGGAAGTGACGGTGGGAAGGAGCATCTGAGAGACGTCCGAGAGGTGACTGTGGAGAATGGGACGTGGGGCCTTTCCCCTCTGGGGGGTGTTGGCTCTGATCCGGCCCCAGGGCAAGGGCCTGGCTGGCTCTAAGGAGCCTGGAAAGGGTCCAGGGGTATTTCCCTCTGTTGATGTCTATCTTTGCTGATTTCCCCTGGCTCTGACAGATGCTGGCAGCGAGATCCCCTTGCAAACACCCCAAGGCCCTGGAAGCGCTGAGCAGAAGCAGCAGCCGCTGTTACCTGATGCCCTTCCCTGGCAGGCAGATCATGACTGGGAGGCAGGGAAGCCTGAGAGGTAACGGACGCGGGACAGCGGCTCTGAGCCTGCGCGACGGGGCGTCTCCATTTCTGCCGGGGAACGGGCTACGCTGGGATGCTCCGGCTCCGGGTTCATTGCCATGTCCCTTCCCCTTCGCAGACATGGATGAGGATTTCCGGGACAGCCTGAGGGACTATGTCACCACCCTGGTGGGCTCGGCCGGTCAACACGCGTGGAGAGACCGGCATGGGGCGCTGCTGACCGGGACACAGCTCACTGCTCGGATAACGGTGGGGACTGGCCAGCTGGGGATGGGGTCTCAGTAGGGGGCGCTTTACCCTGGCTGTCAGTGCTGGCCCCATGCCCCCATGTGGCACTAAGGGGGCTGCGCTGCAGGGAGCGGTGTGGGGGTTCTGTAGGGACGCTCTCCCCAGCAGTCAGGTCTGTACCCAGTACCCCTGGTGGCACTAGGGGGCGCTGTCCTGTGGGGAGTGGGCTTAGCCCTTTTTGCTGAATTTCTGTTAATTAAGAATTAGGGTTGTATTTATATCCTAGCAGAATCCCAGCTTGGATGGTTCTACTGAGCCTTCCTACATCATCCAGGGAAGTTCTTCATTTCCCCGCCAAACTGATTCCCACCATTGTCTTATGGCCGTTCCCCAGCTGCCCTGCCCCAGAGGTGGCTGCATCTCAGTGCCGGGCGAACCATCCCCATGTTCACGGTTTTCTAAGCCCAGTGGAGTCTGTATTGTGATTTCTTGTGCTTTCTTTGCAGAAATTCTCTGATCTGATGAAGAAACATCACTGTGGCTTCTCCTCTCCCGCTCAGGTACCTTCTCTGCTGTCTCTGCCTCTGACCTGATCTAGGGGTGTGTACCGCCTCCTGAATTCACTTCCGATGTAAAACTGCCTCCTACTTTTGTCTTACTGCTGCTGCCTCGCCC